CTATCCCGTATCTTGGCGAATGGTCTAGTATCTACTAGTAGGGTAGGCTGGTATATATAAGAGGGGAAAACGTGACGCGGTGAGGTAAGATAATGTGTGTGTAGACAGTGAGTAATTGAACTGCAGTCACAGGGTATTGTTGAAGTTAACGTTCGTTCGTGATACTGTTTGTTTTAGCGCGAATATTGAGATTAAGTGTATCGCAGAGTTATATTCGGAAAGAATAAACCAGTTTTATTAAGAAAGGACTGGTGTCGCTTAAGTTTCGTCGGAACGAAGTTACAGAAAGTTAATTAACAAACGGAGACGTAACAATATGCTACATCAAAAATAACCTTATTATGCTCATAAATCGTTCTTTGCCTACTTATTATTATATTAGCATAATGTGCTTCTTTACTCAAGTGTCCTTTTTTTAGTAGAAATCAAATACTCCAAACGAGGCCTCACCAAAGTCAGGCACAAAGTTGCAATGACATTATTGCTTTTAAAATAACAGCTTATATAAATAGAACCAGATCACTATTTGCTCTTTTCGACATAACTTAATACTCATACTTAGTTAAAGAGTTTAGGGTTTTAATCATAACCACGACTACTTTTGTGTGTGTGTGTGTATTTTTACGTCAACATTGCCAAGACCATTTTATATAGGAGAAAAATTTTCTATGGAGCCCAACTCTTCCCAGCTTATTATTATCACCAAATTCTGAACACATTTTTATTTAAGAAGTTGTTCAAATCTCGGGGGAAAATAATGAGCCATAATAATTCAAAATGTATCCTAAATGATTTATTGCATTCATTCGTTTATTTTCGCGTAAAAATATACAATGGGCTACGTGCACTATATTTGTAACGGTGATCGAGCTTATAATTTTAGCGTTATAAGCCATGAATCTTGCCGCTGAGCCATAGGAAGACATCTTAAATGGACCTTACTACTTATATAATTCTCTCCCAATCGAAAAAAAATCATCATTTATCACGTTTTTTGCTTTCTAAAACCTAGTCAAGTGTCTGTCATCTTCTTAAGTTCAACCAGTTCATTAGGAAAGTCAATACACAAAGCCTTATGCCGGGTGTGTGTGTCTAAAAAAAAAGTGAAAGCTCTACAAAAGGGCTAAATACCAGTTAATTTGTTGTGTTCACTTTTTAGTTGTTTTAGTCGCAGCGTGGCGTTAATGCTTATAGAAACTCGGCGCAGTCTGCACAGATGGTAGTGTCGTCAGGCTGATAGAGTTGGCAATAAGTGAATAAGCATTTGACGTAAGTTCATTGCTATTTCCTTGATTTTGTATTTTTCTTGTTGTTAGGCTGTTCTATGACAGTATGTTTGTGCAGAAAATTTATTAGCTTAGCAATGGAAATGTATGTCAGATGCGTATACAATAATTTTACAAACTAAATTAAATTATTCGATACTTAACTGCAAGTGCAAACACTGCTCATGACGAAACTTCCGCGAAAGTGAAACATATCAGTTTTATTACTTAAGGTTAAGTAATTAATGTATATGAATATGGCGTAGATAATTTGGTGCCAGTGGTCTACAGGAATACAGAGAATAGTAATTTACTGCTATAGCTAATGCCAGCCGTTTCACTACTTAATACATTGAATAAAGTTCACCTAATCATCAGGTTAATGTAATGTTAATGTTAGTACGTAATTACCATGAGCAGAATATATAAGTTAGCACCAAAGTATTTTCGAGGGTAACATCCTTCCAGTTCCAAAAATTCCTAATTGTCTGCATATTTTTGAGTTCAAATAAATTTCCCAAGATATATATATATACAAAACTTTGCCATTGTTTCTCATGAAATTATGATGTAGAACACTGATTTGTGGATAAATTGAACTTGAGAAGATCTATAATTTTCTTTATTTGGCAGGCTATGGTAATTTCATACAAGTTTGGAAAGTTGTTTGTAGTTTATCATAAAATATCAAGCTTCCTACTTTAAATTATTCAAAACACTAGTGACATTTTAGTGGTGTCTTGTATGTAAAAAAAAAAAAGTCTTAAAATACACATCTTAATACATAGTGCAGAATTGTTTATGTGATTTTCTACAGCTTCTGGTGTATCTATGCCTTCAAGTTCATGGAACAATCAAACATTACTACCAAATGCAAAGTTTTCACATTGTATACAATCTTGATAATTACAAGTTACAACGTCTGTGCTTGCATCTAATAGCTAGATAAAAAAAATAATAGTAAAAGTATAGAAGTAATAATGTTTGTTGTTAAGACTGTAGTGAAGGGAAGTTAGGGGTTTAATGTTTTATATATTCATTGATGGTTATATTGTCAATATATGAGTTTATTATAGAATTATTAGTTTCAAACCTCTATTTATTTTCACCTGTATGGATATTTTGCAAAGTCGTTTGAACAAAGCATAGTAGAAAATTTCTGTTTTTATATTTTACAGCTTAAAGAAGTTCTTCATTTCAGTTATGTATTAAACAAGAAACAAGTAAATAGACTTTAGCATTTAAAAACTGCTAATAAATTTCTTTCTTTTTTCTACTGTGTTAGTAAATTGTTTATCCAAAAATGATTGTTGGACCTAATGACCTGTATTTTTTTACCAAAAGTAATAGTATAAACACTTTTCTTACAAGTTACTACATGAAAGAATGTTTAAGCATATCATGGCACACATTTTAGTTTTTTATATATTATTAAGACCTTGCTGTAGAAGGTTAAAACCCATGTGGTAGTAGGTTACTGAAAAATTGGAATCTAATAATCCCTCCCCAAAAAAAGCCTAATCCTAAAACGCAAACTTTGTAAAATAATTATTATATGTTATTTAACATTATGTACCTGTTCAATGCACAGGGAGCACAACTGTTTACAGTAGAATGTCACTTGCCAGCAGTGGCTAGCAGCAACAAACATACAAGTTTCCCTCAGCCCATGAATCTCACCTAAACCAAGAATGTGTGTGTTTGCTGCCACTGGTTTTTGCCAACTACACCTAACCACTTCCCAACAGAATAGTACAAGAGAACAAATAGAGAACCTTGGGGAATGACATAGGGGGGATGAGATTGGAATGCCGACCCCCCTTGTTACTTGCAAAAAACACCTAAGGGTGCATGCTAAGTTTGGTTGAGATTGGTCAAAACCCGTAGGCATGAAAGGCAGACACACAGGTAGACATAACTTCTAATAATGTCAGTAAGGTATCTTGCATAATCCTAATTAAGTCCTTTAACCTTAAAAGTAATCCTTCAAGTCTGATATTATTTGCTGATATTTTTCTGAATCAAAGTTTCTTCTTGAAATTTTACTGTCATTAGTAGAGATATTCACTTAAGCTTTATTCTTAATGATGTCATTAAAATAAATGATAAACAAAAATCCTGAAACTATATTATTTTTCAGATAGTTAATATTAAAAAAAATGTAGGTATAGAAATCTTCCCTTAACATTATCTTTAAAATTACAGCTTAGCAAATAACTTTTTTGATGTACCTTATGAAATGCCTTATGAAAATCCAGTTAATTGAACAAAACAGAATCCTATGAATTAATTTTTAAGAATTCTAATTAACTTTAGGAGTTAATGTTTCTATTTTGTAGATTTTTCCAGTTACTTAATTATTTCCTTCTATCACATATGTATTCTCATATGTCTTCTCATCACACTACTGATCATAAAGTTTTTCTAACTTTGCCATCTCTGTAGAACTAGAATGTGTACAAAGTTTCACATTCTAGTGGTAGTTTACACAGAATATCAATGAGTGCCTGTTTAAAACTATATGTATATATTTTATATCAAAAATTCAAATACTCTGTGCCAAAAAAATTCTGTTACTATTTCTTTCAGAATATTTAACTTGAGGTAAAAATGTAATATTCTTATTGAGCAACCACACATAAAAGCAAATCAGCTTCATATTCCAATGACTATTTTGTTCTTTTGATTTTATTTTGTAACTTTAGACATTAATACTGTTTAGGTTTTAACTAACACAGTGTGTGAGAGAAGTGTACTATGTGAAACTTATTGGTTCTTACAATACTTTCTTTTTCAACATTAGAAGGTATGATCCATAGAGATGTGGTCTTTCTTCTCAAGAGATCCTGCTCGTGACTTTCCTTATGAAATTAGTGAAGTTATACCTGGCCTTGAGGAAAAATCAATATGGGAGATGCATAAAGGGAAGAAAAAGGTTTGTGACTGCTGTTTCACTATTTAGTTATCAACTTGTTAATGTTTCTCTTGCTAAGTTATCAACCTGTGTGTTACTGTTTTTATTGCTAAGTTATCAACCTACTTGTCACTGTTTCTTTTGCTAAGTCATAAACCTGTGTCTTACTGTTACTCTTGCTAAGTTATCAACCTGTGTGTTAATGTTTCTCTTGCTAAGTCATCAGTTTGTGTGTTAATGTTTCTCTTGCTAAGTTATCAGCCTACTTGTTACTGTTTCTCTTGCTAAATTATCAGCCTACTTGTTACTGTTTCTCTTGCTAAGTTATCAACTTCCATATTATAGTTTCTCAGCTGTCACAAAAGGATGCAACAACCGATTAACCAGAGAAAGAACTGAACAAGGATGTCACAAATTTTTTTTCAAATTAATCTAGTTTATTTCTTTTTTTTTGGGTGAGATTTCATCACTCTCTTCACAACGTGGTCACCTTGACTTTTTGAAGAAGAAAATGTCTAGTAACTTTTCAGCAGTAATTCCCCCTCTCACCATGGCATCATTTAGTGAGTTGCATTCAAAATTTAATTAAACTACTTTTTGTTCATGGTATACCAATTAGTATAGCATAAAATCATAGCTAATAATTCATATTTTAATAGAATATAAGTTTTAAGTTCTGAATTTTATAAGTCAATATTAAATAAAAATCCTAAATTTCCCCTAGAGTAAGAAATTTGACATTTTTTCTCTAGGCATTACCTCTTTAATTTATTTACTACCCCTCCAAGAAGTAAGAAATTTAAAGTAAATTACTCATTATAATATTGTCATTGCTCAGGCAAAGCAAAATTTTCATATCCTTCAATTTTGTTTGGATACATAGCCATCAAATAGAAAATCAGACCCCTCTTGCCACACCCACCTGTCACATTCTCTCTCTCAGGATTTGTCAGTAGTTCTCTCTTATGTTTAATACTATATTATTTATAATCAATAGGAAGCTAAAGGTTTCATCTATTAAATGAAGTATTGTATTTCTGTACAAGCTTTGTTCTCATGGGAAACACATTGACAAGCTTGGATGAATTTGTAGCAGCTCTTGTCACATAGTTCTTTGGTACATTTAATTAAATAAGAATTATTTGGTGCGCTGCTACCATTAGTATATTAAAAAAAGGGTTAAGTGTCATTGACATTTGACAGCGAAAAAATAAGGCCCAGGTTAGTATGTTATGTCTTGTTTTTCATGTGTATTCCTTATTTATTATTATAAAAGTAACTAAAATATAAAAATAGGAAACTCTTTAGGTTAGTTAAGATTAGATTAGGTAAAATAAATGATAATATGATAAAAATTTTTAAAGAGGCATGCTCACATGTGCAATGTAATTTGTTAGCATAACATGAGCCGTATGTTCCCCAAGTGATTTACAACTTATAATGGTGCGAATATAGAGATAGACATGGTTCACAGGGCAATAAAACAATAAAATTTAAGTACAAATAGATGTATACAGTTATGAGTTTAAAGCTATTTAGGATAAACAAATGTAGTTTCATGTTACAGTTCCGAAACACACCTTCTCTCACACTTAAGCTTTAAACCCATGAAAGGTTCTCTTCTTTGCCCATCTAAGTAATGGTATGAATTCTACCTTGCTTGCTCCAGTCTTTATACCCCACTATATTGCCCCAGTGAGTTTAATCATGCAGCTCTCTCCACCTACATCAATGCGCACTCTATAACCAATCCGTGTATAAGCTCCCTGTTATTCTTTCTTATTCACTTTTTCTCAATGGGAGAAATTATGAACACTGTCTTACGTGTTTACTGCAGGTTTATCGTCAATGACATTACTACATTTGAATTATTTTAAATCTTTTTTGTGGGGCTTGTTGTTTATTTTCTTGATTTTACAAAAAAAAAACAAATTTTGGAGAATTTTTTGACTATGAATACTCATGTTCACATGTATGACACAGTGTAGCCTCATGCCTCCCCTCTACCACCTCACAATTCTAATGTTACCCGAGTGTCGGGGTGAGGGCACTTGCCGTGAAGGACATAGTTCTTTATACGTAGAGGGGTAGAGTCTTACCTGTGGTCTGATGTTTTTTCTCCTGTTGGCTTTGAGGCTGAGTTTGTGGGAGATCAAGGGTGGATTAGTGAAAACTTAAGACTCTATTTTTCCAGCACCTTTCTTTGCTCAGACAGCTGCTCATGTACATATATCTTGCCTCTTGCACCTTTTTTTTACAACTAGTATGCCACGTTTATAATGTTTTGAGTATTTATTCTGTAGCTTATTAATCTTCACCTTCTATATTTGGAGAAACTACTTCATCAGATTACCTGGTTCTTCCACCTTTGCCAAACATTGCATTGCATACAAGGAGATTTGCAGATCATTTGAGGTAGGACGCTGCTATGCTTTGCCCTCCTTGTTTATTGAATCAGCATGTCTTGGCTTTCCATTGCCTGGTGAACCCTTATTTGGACTCTCAAGAGGTTAGACCCTTTACTTCCTATTTGGGGCTCTAGACAAGATGTCACTGTTCACCTTACACAATCTCAGTTTTCTGTAATTTGTTTGTTATTTACAACAGTTTTGCATTTTTTATTATCTTTTCAACTGTTGTCTGAGGCTATCACAGGTCCCCTGCTCACATTTTGGAGGATCTTAGTAATTTATTGACTTCCACTTTGGTCAGGTTATAGGCTTCAGCTCTTTCCTTGGTATCTTGGTTGGTTGGTTGGTTGATGAGATCATTTGGACAGAGATACTTTACTGGAGGGAGTTTGCCATCCTGCATTGGCACTTAGGGATCTAAGAGAAACTCCTTTTCTCAGACAGTCTTTTTTTTTGCAAGTGTTCCCGAATCCATGGAATCTGGAGTAGATGTGATCCATCTACATTTTTCATTTTCTATACTGGCTTCTTGATTGTCCCATAGTTCTTCTTCAGGATGGTTTGCTGCATCTCCCATTCATGTTTCCAGACCTGCCTCAGCACCATGTTACATTGGAACACGAGGACAATTTCAACCTTACCAGTGGGTGATCCTTCTCCAGGGTGGAGCACAGATTTCGATGTTGGCAACTACCTTATGGGGTCAGATCCTGCAGGGTCTCATATCAGAGGGTTTGTATCTGTATAGGAGACATTCACCACAGATCACTGGGTCATTCAATTTCTCAGGAGGGTCTTGGCCATTCATTCCACATCTCCTCCTTTGTCTCTCATACTGGCTGGCTTTCCACTCCTCAAAGACCCTCTTACATTGAACCATTGAGCACAAGCCATCCAGGATCTTCTGAACAAAGAGGCCATAGAGCTTATCACCTCCTCTCTCTCAAGGGTTTTTATTCTCGGCTGTTTCTAGTACAGAAAAAGATGGGTGATTGGCAACCAGTCATCAGCCTTTCTAGTCTCAGTCTATTCCTCCAGCCTCCTCAGTTTACAATGGAGTTGTTTCTTTCCCTTTAGTTGCTCTTTTCACCCAGACTATGAATGACAAAATTCGACATCACAGATACTTAACTTCATTTCCTGGTCACTGAGTCTTCAAGGCATTATCTCAGTTTTGTGCATGAAAACAGGTTTTTCATTTTCCTGCTCTACCATTCAACTGCATTTCCCATTTATATGACCTTTTGGATCCAGATCATTATTTTACGTTGCCCTTTTCAGGCTTTCCAATGTTACTTGACATACGCTTCAGAATTTTGGGGAACACTTCATGGATTCTTTAGTTGTTAGGATTCTTCAGTTTCTTGTAACTTAACCCCTGTCACTTTGACAAGTTGGATTCACCAGTTGGTTTGAATAGTTTACTCTGGTCTTTCATTGGAAGAGCTGAGACTACTCATCATTCTCATTTGAGTCCTACTCAGTGGCGAGTGTTGTCTAGTCAGGTATGCTTTTGTAAATCTGCACTAATTACCAGTAGACTAATAACTAAATGTTTGGTAGCAAAAGCTCTGTTGAAATAGTTTATTCCATGAGACCACTTTGGCACTTGGCACTGGGTTGTGAACAATTATTTTATATCAAATATCACACACAATACTGGGCTCCTACTCATGGACTATCATGAGTAATGCATAAGGGAACTTTGCCCATCCCTACTAATGCCTGGATTACACAAATTGGAGTTGGTTTGCTTTTTAAAATAGGGAATGTGGTCCATCTATTACACTGTCTCTGGAGCATCATTCTCCCGGACTCCTCAATGTGAGCTCCCCTCTCTCTTCTAATGGAGCATGGGAGTCCTAACCACTCTCAGTTTCCAGTTGTTGAAGTGTTGGACAGAGGTCTGTTCCTCCTGAATGATGTGTGTACTCTTTATTCCACTCAAGGAGAAGAGGATGAAGCTGGTTACCCTCCCACACTTAATCCTGGTTGTTTTCCACATATGTTGGGTGGGGAGCCATTCCAGCCTATGTGGGATCCTCCTCATAATTCCAGTTCAGAGATGACACTTTGCTATCTGGTTGTGTGAGCATGTTCCTTCTTTTTTGTTCATTCTCTTACTTTCCATGATCATGGAAAAGGGTCCTTGACTCCTCATAATTCCACATGCAGAGCATCACATCCAGGAGCCGTTGGTTGAATTTCATTTGTTCCATATCCTCCTTATAATTCTGGGGGAAGGAGGTGTTACCTTGACTCACAGGTTGAGGAATTAGAATTTCGGTTCATAATTCCAGGCAGGACGATCTCTGTTTCTTCAAATTTGGTGAGGTGCAAATTGGTACTGTAATTCCGAGTTTGGTTTGTTGTATTCTGAGATTGTTCAGGTTGGGGGGGAAGACTTGTCCTGATGGACATTGCTTGCCTTCTCATTGTAATTCCAATGGCTTACATGTGACATTTTTAACTTTCAGGTTGGGTGCTTAGGCCCATAATTCTAAGTTCAGTTTGTTGCATTTTGTGCTTCTTCAGGTTGGAGTAAGGGTTTGTCCACGTAGATGTTGCTTGATTTCTCTTTGTAATTCTGGTTGCTCGACATGCAACATCCTGTAGCTTTGAGGTTGGGTTTCCTTCATATAATATTTCTATTATACAATTATATCACATTGCAGTCCCCATGCCCTAGCCACTACACCTTGGATCTAGCTTTGAGTCCACAGTCATGTAATTCCAATGATGATATGTGGAACCTCGCCTGTCTGGTTGGGACCTGGACGAATCTAATGATAATGAACAACATTGACTTTGTAGCCAGTTGGCCTTTACTGCCCACATTTAGATTTCACTCTATCTGGGCAAAGAGCATACCTCTTCCAGAAGTAGTGCAGACCCACACTAGTGTGCTTTATTATATCTCAATATTGCACACCTGTTTTTCTACGCAGATGCTTTCTGTGTGGATCTTGCCCTCACCAGCCTTTTCACCTGGTCAATGTGGTATTTTAGCTAAGGTGTATTTTGGAAGTTTACATTTTCCTATACCGAAAATGTATTCCCGATAATACTTACCTTCTCTTACACTGTCCCCGTCCTTCCTCCCCATTATAGATGGTGTTCAGGTCTCATAACCTTGCCAGTCTAAAAAAAGTAAATAAGAAAGAATAACAGGGAGCTTATTTATGGATCGGGTATAGAGGGTGAATTGATGTGAGTTGAAAGAGTCACAAGATTAAAATCACTCAGGGTAATATGGTGGGGAATAAAGAATGGAGAAAGTGAGGTATAATTCATACCAGTGGTTAGATGGGCAAAGGACAGAACATTTTTTGTTGGGATAAAGTTAAAGTGTGAGAAGAATTAAGTATTATCGGGAATACACTTTCAGTATAGGAAAATGTAAACTTTGAAGTCATTCTAGAAAGAAAAAAAAGGGTAATTTACATTTATTTCTATTTTTTTTGGTGGTTAAGAGATTTGTCAAATTGACCAATCTTGTATAGAGTTAGGGTAGAGAAAATAACAGGTAAAATATAAAGTTCTACTGAGGTTTCAAAGATTATGCAAATGACATTTGAAATTTTTGAGATGAAAAGTATTTTTAATCTTAACATTACAATCACGAACTGGTCAAAAAAAGACTCACTATATTCACGGACAAATCTTTAGTACAAGTACTTCATTAAAAAACTGATTTTTTTGTGTACAAATGACTTGTGATGTTTACTAAAAGTCTACTTAATTATGTGAAGTTACACATACTTTATTAAAAGTTATTGTATTAAAACTATATAGAAGTAAAAATGGTCGAGTGGACTGAGCTCCAATTGAGAGAGTTTGTTATCAGCTCGGTGCTAAATGTGCATAGTCTAGTCTAGTTGTCTAGACTGGGAGTACCGACTGGGCGCATTCTAAAAGTCATGGATAGACTACTACAAAGTGTATGCATATGCGATATGAGCATGGAAAAGTGTGAAAATATTGTATGTTCTGTTTGGTGGGATTTTCTTAGAAATGAATAGCAGCTTTGGATTTGGTATATCAAACTGCAACCTTAGAGCACTTTCATTGTGTTTTGGGAGGTCTTGAAAACAACATACAAAGGAAAGGAATTATTTGCACATTATGCTAAGCAAAGAAGAAAGTGATTCACAACTGGAGTTGTTTTGATTTGCATGTTGTGATTCAAATCCAGATATTTTGTCCCCTGACATGTAATATTCTCCTGCAATCATCTGTTCAGTTGAGTTTAGGTGAGCACTTACTAACAACTCATGTCCTCCTCCCACAGCTGGTGTTGATCCAGGAGTCTGGTAGAGTTGAAGCAAGCATGCACTACCATATCTTGCCTTCCTCTTGTAGCTTGTTTCAGGCCAAGAGTCTAATAGCAGAGTTGAGGTGAAACACACCAACATTACACATTGTATGGCATAAAAATGTGCACTCCTTTTACAGCTGGTGTCGGTCCAAGAGTCTGACGGTAGAGTTGAGAAGAACATATACTAATAACTCCTTTGTCTTCCTCCCACAGCTAGTTTTGGTCCAATAAGTCTGACAGTAAAGTTGAGGTGAGCACTAAGTATGGTCTGAACACACCCCAACCATGCTACACACATTGGCTCTTGACCTCTTGTGTGCAAGTACTTGGACAGCCATGTTCTTATTCTGCCCATACCTGGGACACATGGGGCTTGTTTGCCTCTTCCTCCTTTCCAATCTGGGCAAAGAGTGTACCCTGGAAGAGATTAAATGAGATGTCCCACAAGTGTGTCCCTATATAACACCTGCCTTTGGGTGTCACACTCCATGGGTTTCCTCTGAGCACTTTCAGAAAGGAACTCATCTAGGTAACTTTTGCATCAGTCCTTTTACCATTGGATTTTAGCTTTCTATCTGCAGACGAGTGTATCACCTTTTCATTACCTGAAAGTGTATTTCTGATAGATACTCACCTCTTCATACACTTCCTGCACTTCCTCCCCTATTCCAATGCAACTTAGTATTCATTGCCTCATCATAGAATGAAGATCATGAGTGCAGAATCATAGAGGAAACTAGTGTGCAGGAAGACTGTTTTGACCTTCTGATGGTGGAGGGCTTTTCCTGCATAAAACTTCATCGTGCAGTAGTGCAATTCTCAAGAAATGTCATGAGTTTAGGTTGAAGTTACCTGAAGGCTAGTGGCCTGCAAATCTCTAGGGCAGATGCACTGGGAAGATAGCTTTCTGTGTGTAGAGGAGAGTATCTATCAGAATTATATTTTCAGATAAGAAAAATGTTAAAATTTGAGGGGGAACCACTGCTTGAGTTCTAGGGTGGCCCACCAGAATTTTGCTTTGTTGCACAGCAGGCCAGACTATCACTGTTGATTACAGTATAATACACAACATGTGTCTAGTTAATAATTGACAATACTTGTATAGCTTAAACTTATTTAGTATTGTATCCAGATCTAGTTTTTTTACAGAGTTATTTTATGTTAGCAAGGTTACAATATTTAATGAATTTTGTTGTATTTCCAGGCTAATGGTGAACCAGTAACTGTATTTATTTTTGAAGTAAAACCAGGTGGTGAAGATTTGGTAAGTCAGTTACAAAAAAAAAGTCTTGTAGTCTCACTGAATATTACTTACTTATACAAATTCCTATGTGTTACATATTATTGCTCTTTTTAATTGATATTTTAGAGAATTATAAATAGATAATTATTTCAATAAATCAAAAGGATGTGATTGAATACTATCATAGACAAAGTAATGTGACTTGTAGTAGAAGTTGTTAGCAAAATATCTTTATAGGCATGACAGGAAACAAATGTGGAGAATATTATAAAAAAAATTTCTTGTTTCAATCTTTCAAAGCTAAATTATGTGAGATTGCATTGTTAAAATAACACACAAAGCTTTCTGTGAATATTGATCACTAAAATTTTATATTAAGCAGTTACATGACTTCTGTGGGGAAAATAATCTATGGGTATTATTATTTTTTTAGTTCATTGTATGCAAAATGCTTGTTGCAAAAATTAATATAAATCAAAACATGTTACTACAATAGTTAATATATTATAATAATAATAATGTACAAGGTGTCCAGAAAGTATGGAACCATAGGCACTTCAATAAATTTTACAGAATGTGTTCCACATGCTGCCCTTGTAATTCAAAACAAGTTTAGATTAACTTGACCTCATGCTTTGACAGTGCCATAATCAATCAAATATCTGAAATTAGAAAAAGCTGAAAATCACCTATGGTTCCTGGCTTTTCAGACACCCTGTATACGATGAACTCATTTGGAAATTGTATAGATGTGTCTAAAATTTTAAAAAAAATTAAATATGGAATTATAGATATTAGTTGTAGAGAATAAATACAAAAATAACAATATGATGATTCCTGTTTGTAGACATGCAGATGACTTTCAGTGTTTCTGGTTTATTTTTTTCTTCCTATATTGTCTTCAATGTAAATTTGTTAGTATAAATAAGAAAAGAAATCAAGAAAATAATGTGAAGTTGGACTGTTAAAAAATATTTTTATTTATGAACAGTTTCTGCTCTCATAAACTTTATGTGGTTACTTTAAAAGTATAAATTTGATTTTGTTTCTTCCTACATTACCCTATTCAAATACTGTAAAGTGATGACCTATTTTACTAATCTGTTTACTGTATAGCATAATTTTAGCTATTAAAGCTAATGGTACAGAATTTGGTGATAATATTTTTTTGAAATGAGAGAGGTTCTGTTGAAGTTGCAAAATCTTTGAAATAAGTGAAACAAGAGAAAAGTAATAGTTTTAAATACAGGTCATTTTAATATATATATATATATATATATATATATAT